GTCGTAGGAGCGCCCGTGCTCCACCTCCCTTTGCAGAGGCAGTCTATCGTTGTCGTCGCGGATCCCGCGGATCCTGCGCGCCAGGTCCAAGTCCTTCACCTGAAGGGTCTTGCGCTTGCCGTGCGCAACACAGAAGATGGCGTCCCCGAAGAGGCCCACGATGAAGTCTTGGCTCGCCTCCAAAAGCGCGTCAAGAGCGGACGACTGCCACCTGAAAAAGAATCGGGTCTGAGGGTTAGGATCCTTGGATATTGGACAGTTTTCCAACCCCGTATCATTTTCAAGTATACCAATAGCTTACGCACTATTGGAAATGGACCGTTCGAGTAGAGAGGACAGTTGTCAGAGCAGAGAGACTCTGGGAGTTGGTTCTGTCAGCCAGTGCAATAAAGCCTGCATGCGTTTTGCAGCGCTAGATATGCTAGATAATTCCCGCTTCCTTCGTAAAGAAGGTTGTCGCCCACATCATCAAAGTGCAAGCGCGAGCAAATTTTGTTTATCTGCCAGCTCAACGGCAATCTTGGGCAGCTCGTTTAAGCTCAGGCAGATACTAGATACCACAAATCTTCGATAAAGATGCTCGTTTCGACCAGCTTGAAGCTCCACTTGACAGCCCGACGTAGTAATTCGAACAAGGCACTCAAGTATACAGTTTAAAATAGATTCTAACCTCAGGTTGTAATCCCGATCGCCCCGCTTCCTCCACTCCGTATCGCACAGCTCCCGCACGAGGCGACCAAACGAGAGCCTGGGGACGACAGGTTCCGTGCTCTTTTGGTACTTCCGGATCTCCCTGAGCGCTAGGGTGCCCGGCCTGTACCGATGCGGCTTCTTCGGATCCCGCTTCGAGGTGGGGGCTGGACCTTCTGGCGCCTTGCGCTTGTTGCCTGCTGAAGAGACAAAGTGTTTATATCTTGCAACAAACCAATTGCATTACGTTCCACACAAGAGCCCACCATACTAAAATGAGAGCATACATTTAGGTTTGAAGAAACATCTAGCTGAACGGCTATGAAACCAGTGAAAGGACCACAAGTTGGCAGTTGGTGTACCGAGAGACGCCCAATCATCACGTTTTGAGGAAGAATCCGCTCCCAAAATATGCCTTGAACGCTCACCAACTGATCAAATTGAGCTCAACCTTTACAGCCCATATACCATTATCTGCTCATGCACCCTGTTTGGGAAACAACCCGCTCGTTGAGAATGCTCAAACCAAGTGCAATGAGCTGACAAAAAGAGCCTCAAACCTGGCACAGCGAGCATGCACCTACTTTTGAACAAACTCACCACCAGCTCTGTTTTTGCAATAAACCAATTGCATTGCAATCAGCGTGAGCGCCCACCACTCTAAAACGAGAGCATGCACCAAGTTTTGAACAAACTCCCAGCTGAAATTGCTAAGGTACAAAGCATTGAGCACATCTTGGCAGTTGGTGTACCAAGGGGCGCCCAAGCAGCATGTTGAGGGACAATTGGCTCGCACCTAACCCTAGATCGCTCATGAACCGGTCACTTTTGAGCTCAACTTCTACAGCCCATATACCACAATCCGCTCATGCAACCTGTTTGGGATACCACCCGCTAAGCTAAACTGCAGAAGTCAAGGGCATTGAGCTGACAAAAAGAGGCCCGGCAATTTGCAACGCGTTCAGAAGCTCATACCTGCTGGCGGCTTCTTGGTGGGTGTGTCCCGTGCTGGTGCCTTCTTGGGGCCACCTTGCTCTGGAGCTTTCCCCTTATCCTTGCTGCTTCCCCCTGGTAGCTTGAGCACCGCGGCACCAGGCTTCGGCCTTCCCGTTGGCCCGAGCTTAGCAAAGGACTTCCTGTTAGAGGCCTTTTTCATTTGAGGGGGAGCAGCTTTGCTCGCTGCCTGGAATGCAGCTAGTGCGGCCGCCTGCCCCTTGGCGTGCTTCTCTGCCTTTCTAG